GGCGGGAGGGGTCCTATGATGACGGATGTCTGTTCTTTAGCTTTGCTCGGAGAGATCTCACCAGTTTTCTTCTTTCTCTTCAATCGAGACTCTTCCTTCGTCTCTGCCTGAGCCGGTGTTCACATGGCGGCTGTCTGGACCACCGGTCTTTCCTCAGCCCGGCTTTGGCGTGCCGTACCTGGACGGTGCTGCGCTGCACATTGCGGGGTCAGCCTAGAGGTGATCATCAGATTCCATTCTGCCAAAGAGTTCTTTCCAGGTCCAGAGCCGCTGGCGTTGCCTCTGAAGACGCACTTTGTGAGGCCGATCAGAGGGATCCATTTTTGGGCCATTGGGCGCCTTCAGATTCCCGCTTTCTGTTGGTGCAGTAGGGGTTAATGTTGAGGGACTGAGCCCTGGCGTCATCCTCTGCATGGAGTGTGTCACATGCACTCCATTTCCCGGCATTGAGGAAGCTTCTTTCAATCGCTGCTCCTGCTGTAAACTCCAATCCTGTGTTCCTGTTGCCTGCCTGCAGTGGCCGGTCCCCTCCAGCCACCAGGACCTACACCTGCTACCAGAGGAGTGCCAGAGACCTTGCCACCTACCCTGAACTACATGGTGGCAACATGTCTGCTTGTGGGGGGCAGTCCTGCAGTGCCGGGTTTCCCAGCTTATGTTGCTTTTTTTCCCCCTGGGGCCTCAGAGCGCCCAACAAATGGGTTTTGGGGCAGATAGGAGGCGAGGTCGTCATCTTGGGCGTGCTCAGCACAATGTCATACTAGGGCCAGTTTTAGACCGTAGCCAATAAACCTCCCAGCATGTGTGAGGATTGGAAGTGAGGGCCTCAGTGCTGCAAGACAAAAGTTCTAACCACTGAACCCCGGTGCTGCCCTGCTTGTAGTGTGCCTACTGATGTGTCCGTCTGGAAGCCTGAAGTCCTCATACCCTCGGCTGCTAGAATCTATGCCATGGTCGGAGTCCTCCCAGCTCTGCGAGGCGCGGGCATCTCCTCTCCTCTGAGGAAGTTTTGGATCATATATCTGTGAAGATTCTCATTCATCCGGGTCACATGGTATATCTGTAGAAAATAAGTCGAGGCAACTGGACTCGCTGTATTTTTCTTGAAGACGTTTCACTGGTCATCCGACCGGCTTTCTCAAGTTCAGCCATACACTTTATGGGCTAAATAGCGCAGTCGCTTGCTGACTCGCAGAGGCCTCACGTGCGCTCCGGTGCCACTCCCAGCAGACTGGATCAGTTCTGAGTCTCCAATGCCTGCCAGACAAACCTTCCTCTGGGGTCCATCTTCTGTCCTACCTTCCAAACTGTAATAGACCGTTCTGGACTCTTATTGATGAAGTGCGCACCACAATGAAGCTAGGGGATCAGCATTTTGCTTCTTCCAGCTCTGTTCCCAGGCTAGGATCCTCTAGACCAGCGGTGGCGAACCTCGGCACTCCAGCTGTTTTGGAACTACAAGTCCCATGAGGCATTGCAAGGCTCTGACAGCCACAGACATAACTCCCAGAGTCAGATGCATGTTGGGATTTGTAGTTTTGGCACAGCTGGAGTGCCAAGGTTCGCCACCACTGCTCTAGATCAATGGTTCTCCACCTGTGTCACCTCGGGGCCCACATTTGTCCTCGGCCATGACCCAAGTCGCACTGCAATGGAATGCGCTGCATTAGGGTACCACGGGTTCCGGTGCGGGTGTACGAACTGGGAGGGAGGTGCTTTTGGGGGTACCATTCAAATGAATGGCAGCGCAACACACCTCCCACACCAGAATGCACGGTACTATGCGATTAACGCACTGTACTGGTGTGAATGGGCCCTTAAAAACACACAACCACAGACCCAATCTCACACATACACATTCCAGAAATGTCTCCCTACCTTATCCTCAGCTTGGGGTCCAGTGTGGGCTGCTGTGCTGTGATGGAGCTCCATCCATATGTGTCCCTTGTGCCCGCTGTATAAAGGCCTGTCAGCGTGGTGCACCGTCACTTTAGTTTTATTAATGCACGATGGGCTTTTTTTTTTAAAGCGTTTTTGACCCACAGATGCAGCGGGTGCAGGTTCCTTCGGGGCCTTTTCCTGATGTGGGGAGGAGATTCTGTGCCCTTATACAGGGTTCTCTGTCTCCTCCCAACCCAGGAGGGGTCTCTCTTCGGGAGAGCCCTCTACCTAGTACTGTGTGGGACCTGTTCCGGCAGGTCCCCAAAGGATCGGGGTCTACCGGCCTTCGGGTTGGTGGACCAAAAGTTTTTGATGCACGTCCCACGGGCTCTTAAAAAGAAAAATAGGTGCCGGGAGCCAGAATGTGAGGTCACTCCGGTCCAGGCACCTCTACAGGACACGTGAGGGAGGTGTAAGCAATGCATGTATGGATGGAGCTCCTCGCGGCCATGGCCCCACCCCACCTCAAGATGACACTCTGCGCCGGGCAGCATATTATGAATGGCTGCTCAGTGCAAGAACTGACAGCGCTGCGCTAGGGGGAGGCTGAGGTGCCTCTCACCTAGAAAAGTGGAAGGCGTGCTGCGGTGACACACTGAACACGGGGTCGCCCCCCCCCACCAGTTTAGAACGGAGGGGTTTAGAGCTCTTATGAATGCCAAGACCTTCCCGGTGCACCTGATGCTCCGAGTCTCACTTTTCATGAAGAATGGAAACCTGATAAGATGTTTGTACCTCCCAAGTGCTTGTTTAGATTGTACCCCTCAGAGAAGGACTTAAAAGTGCC